TATCGGAGATGGCAACTTCTATGGTCTCTCCTCTTACTTCACAGCTCAACCATGAAGCTGTCTGTTCCAAGTTTGTGTTTCCCAAATCGCCCTTCATGTCGGGATCTTCTAAGCTCTTCTCCTCGAACATGCCTTGCTCTACTGTTCCTAGACGCACAAGAAGATCACACTTCTTAGCTTCTGCTAAAGATATGAGCTTTGACCATATCCCTAAACAATTTCGAGGAGACAATCTCAAAGACGGAGGTTTTCTTCCTTCTCTCTCTCATCTATATCTTTCTCCTTCTGATAGATTTGTTCATAACTCTCATTTTACGTTCTGTGATTGTATTTGGTGATGAATTACGTTACAAAGTTTCTGTATTTTCCTTTGATTAGCTTACACGAAGCATCTTAGAGTTAATTTCCGGAATTGATAGGCCTCAGTGACTCATTTAGCTTCAATTTTTAACTAACTGTAGGACGATGATTTAGGAAAATCGATGTAGCGAAGATTAGTTTGATTGCTACAATTCTTGTTTGGAATGATATTTGTGCATAAGAGAAGAACATGTTGCAGTCTCTATATACTATTTGATCTGAGATACAATATTTGTGGCCTTTTTTGCTTTAGTGGCGCAGAACTTCAAGAACGTACCGCAGTATTTTTACGGGCTTAATCCAGCTCAAATGGATATGTTCATGACGGAGGATAGCCCTGTTCGTAGGCAATCGGAGAAAGTTACAGAGGTGATCTTTCTCTTTTAAGCTCTCTTATCAGTCCAATTGCAGTTTCAGAATCTGAAAATGGCTAAGAGGAGAACAAAGTTGTGTCTCAAATAGGAATTCTTATCTTGTTTTTCGGCGTGCTTCTTTGTTGACAGGAAAGTATCTCGTCGAGAAGAAATTATTTGGACAATGGAGGAACATGGAGTATGTCTGGTATGAATGTAGCAGATCCTAGAAGATATAGTATGAGTGTACAAATGTACAGAGGTGGAGGCGGCGGAGGCGGAGGTGCAAGACCAAGAACTGCTCCTCCAGATTTGCCTTCTTTACTCTTGGATGCTCGGATATGTTACCTCGGCATGCCAGTAAGCCTTTTTCACGTGTCGATTACTTATTATTAAACCCATTTCCTTGTTACTATGATTCCTCTCTGCTTAAGCATTCTTTTGCTTTATTTTACTTGCAGATCGTACCTGCAGTTACTGAGTTACTCGTTGCTCAATTCATGTGGTTAGACTATGATAACCCAGCAAAGCCTATCTATCTATACATAAATTCATCCGGGACTCAGGTCAGTACGTGAGGCTTGATTACATATTGTTTGTTGGTGGTAGTTGTCTGGCAATATTCGGACAACCTACTTGTTACCTTAAGTAAGCTCTCTAATTGTTTTTCTTCTTTTGCTGATGCCATGTAGAATGAGAAGATGGAGACGGTTGGGTCAGAAACAGAAGCTTATGCCATAGCTGACACCATTTCTGTAAGTGATCTCAATAAAACTATCTGTACATTTATCTGTATAAGGTAATCGTTTATGCGCCTAATGTGTTATCAGTGTTGATTTTTGTCGATTTTCATCACCTCATTTGTTTTGTTTTGGTGGCTTAAAAGTATTGCAAATCAGATGTATACACTATCAATTGTGGAATGGCTTTTGGTCAAGCAGCAATGCTTCTTTCCCTCGGGAAAAAGGGTTATCGTGCAGTGCAGCCACATTCATCAAGTATGGTTTTCTTCTCTCAAATATATGTACTTTAACCTTGCATTTAGATCATGATATAGATATCAATCCTCTTGCCCATTTGTGGAATCTTCTAAGTTTTGATGGTTAATGGTGCAGCAAAATTATATCTGCCAAAAGTAAACAGATCAAGCGGAGCTGCGATAGACATGTGGATAAAGGTGCACTCACATTCTTTTACCTTTTATATATATATCCCCTTAAGTTTTTTCACCTGTACTGTAATGAATAATCCTCTGGCAGGCCAAGGAACTTGATGCAAATACTGAGTACTACATTGAGCTACTAGCTAAGGGAACAGGGAAATCCAAAGAGCAAATCAACGAGGACATCAAGCGACCTAAATATCTCCAAGCACAAGCAGCCATTGACTATGGAATTGCAGACAAGATAGCTGACTCGCAAGATAGTTCCTTTGAGAAACGGGTAACATTCAGATTAACTTATTTTCCCCCATAGCCAGGTTATCTTTGTGTTACCTTCATTCATGCTAAAATGGACAATACGTTTGGGTTCAGGATTATGATGGGACTCTTGCCCAAAGAGGCATGGGAAAACCTGGAGGAGGCAGTCCGACAACTCCTGCCGGATTCAGATGATCAATTCAGATGTAAAAGAGATCGAATCTCAATGTGCTTAGTCACTCTGAAATATGTAGCTGTTACAAGCTATAAGCAAACACATGTAGTAGTAACGTACAAAAGTGTTGGCAAAAAGAAGAAAAAACATACGAAAGTTTTCTAGGTGAAAGCTTGTTTTGTGGTTACATATATATCTTTCTTGAAGCAGGTTTCTCACACTCTGAAAAAAAAACGAGTTTCGGGTTTTTCAGAAAGAAGGGAAGAATCGGTTGAGGTTATAAGGCAATGCGTAAAACTCTTCCGTTCGTGTATCAGTGTGGTAGACTCTGAATTTCTCCCACCAGTGTCTTCCACTGTCTCTCCTCACCGAGGCATGTCCATAGCTATGAGTGCAGTCCAATAAGAACGCCGCTAGTATCCCAACCGTAGCAGCCGAAGAGAATATCACTTGCATTATCACATTGAACTTCATGGATGGCAACACCAAAAACGAATCAGTACACAAAACAAGACATAAACCGACTATGTAAGGTTTTTGTTTCTCTTGGACACTTACAGCAGAAGTACGAGTGTGAACGGGTCCACGACCAGAGATAAATAGATATTCCGTGAAGTATTGTGCGACAGAGAGACCGATGAAGATGGAGAAGCCAAGGATGAATTTCGTCCTGAAGCTGTTCAAGTTGCAGAACTGAAGAAGGCCAAGTCCTGCAGAAGCTGTTCACAAAGGTCCTCTGCTTCATCTCAATCACATTAATAGAAGCTAAAAGAATAAGAAAGAGAGAGTTCTTGAGTTATTACATACCGACATAGGCGAATAGAACACAGTACAAGGCTGCAAATATCGGTAATGGTATTGATGCAAGAACCGCCCCAAACTTTCCTGTTTTCACCAAGTTGATTACAAAAATGACTGATTGTTTCCGAGGGATTTCACGGGTTTGAGCATTACCGAAAATGGAGAAGAAGATCATGAAACCCGCAGATATCTGAACCACTCTTCTGCTCCCAACCTTTGTTAGTCCCAGAAGCCCTGCATTTTCACTACAAATAACAAGAACAGAGAAAAACAGAGGTTAAGGTCCGGAATGCGAAAACAAGTTTTCTTGATTCAAAAAGAACCGCAGAAGAGGATGATTTCCTTACACCAAAGCTGCAGAACCGGTTGCTGTTCCAAACAATCCATCCAGCAAAACGCCTATTCCCTGTTTTCGATTTCCACAAAGCACACACATCAGTTTCTCATTCTAACATTCTTGAAACCGAATTTAAATCTAGCTGTTTCACCTGCCATCCGATGCCACGACTAAGCACCGAGGGAGGGATATGAGTCGCGCTACCAAATCTTGAAGCTGCGATGAATGTACCCGTCGTCTACTCCATTAAACAAATTCACTTTTTAGAAAACAGAAATCCTTCTGTAAAACCAAAAAATGTGAATTGAGAAGGTAACAAAAACCTCGACAATCGCCACATAAGAAGCAGCCATCATTGCGAAAGCATCGCTTGCACGAAAGCTTGGTCGTCCCCATTGCAATGGATATGGAATTTTCACCCTAAGAATCAACCTTTAGTCAGAAAAAAAAAATCC